TTATTGTGTTATTGTATTATTGTATAAGTAAGCACATCATGAGCAATGTACAATCCTGAGTCCAATTCCTCGTATGTGTACACATACCTGGCAATAAAACTGATTCTGATAGTGTTGTCCCACCTAAAATCCATCACAGACCCACTCCTGGACCCCCTGCAGTTCACCTACAGAGCCAACAGGTCTGTAGATGATGCAGTAAACTTGGCCCTTCACTTCATCCTCCAGCGCCTGGACTCCCCAGGAAACTACACCAGGATCCTGTTTGTGGATTTCAGCTCTGCTTTTAACACCATCATCCCGGCCCTGCTGCAGGACTCTCCCAGCTGAGCGTGCCTGACTCCACCTGCAGGTGGATCACAGACTCCCTGACGGACAGGAAGCAGCATGTGAAGCTGGGAAAACATGTCTCTGACTCCAGGACCATCAGCACTGGTTCCCCTCAAGGCTGCGTTCTTTCCCCCCTTCTCTTCTCCCTGTACACCAACAGCTGCACCTCCAGTCACCAGTCTGTCAAGCTCCTGAAATTTGCGGACGACACCACCCTCATTGGGCTCATCTCAGGTGGAGACGAGTCCGCCTACAGGTGGGAGAGCGACCATCTGGTGACCTGGTGCAGCCAGAACAGTCTGGAGCTCAATGCTCAGAAGACAGTGAAGATGGTCATGGACTTAAGAAAGAGCACAGCCCCATCATCCTGTGTGATTCCTTATTCACCACTCTGGAATCCTTCCGCTTCCTGGGCACCATCAAGTGGGAGCTGAACCTCATCTCCCTCACCAAGAAGGCCCAGCAGAGGATGTACTTTCTGCTGCAGCTGAAGAAGTTCAGCCTGCCAGAGACAATGATGGTGCACTTCTACACCGCCATCATTGAGTCCATCCTCACCTCCTCCATCACCATCTGGTACGCTGCTGCCTCTGCCAGGGACAAGGGCAGGCTGCAGTGTATCATTCGCTCTGCAGAGAAGGTGATTGGCTGCAATCTTCCTTCTCTTCTGGACCTGTACGCCTCAAGGACTCTGAGGCGAGCAGGAAAGATTGCAGCTGACTCCTCCCACCCTGGACACAAACTGTTTCAGACACTCCCCTCAGGCTGCGGTCCATCAGGACCAAAACCTCTCGCCACAAGAACAGTTTCTCCCGGGTCTCCCACTGACACTCCCCCCTTGCAAACGATACAAATGTCTCTGCACATGTAAATACCGTTTCATCTCGTGTCGGGCTCAGACCTGGCACGTCGCGCACATTTGTTGTTGATTGTTGATCTTTGTTGTTGTATATTTCTATGTTGTCAGTTTATATATTTATATGTACACAATATTCTCTTCCGTTACGTTACTTCTGCACAGCACAGACCCAGAATAATGCCCATGTATATATCTGCAACGTTGTTCTTCAATTCCATATTTATATATTTCCACATTTATTTATGTTGACTGTATGTTTGTCTACGTGTAGCACCTTATCACCACAGCAAATTCCTCGTAAGTGTAAAACACTACTTGGCAATGAAGCTCCTTCTGATTCTGTAAGTATAAAATTAATTAAAGTAAACTGTGAAACAAGGTAGGGTCGTTAGCAATGAGAGGATGTGCAAAATAGCAGCAGTACAGTCATCAGGATAAACCACAAGAATATGCATTATGAAAAGCAAATATTTCTGAAGGCCATTTCAATATTATTGAAGTATTGCAACTGCAAGCACTGTGTAGACTGTTATTTTCTATATATCTATATATTTCTATATGCAACATCAAAAGTAACCTTTTAGATAACTTGACTCCTTTCACCGTAGTTATAAACCCACATTTTAAAAAAAAGTACAACCTGTACTGTGTAGAGTGCAAAAATACAATACGAAAAGTACTACAACATCACATCAACAGCAACTACGAACTGCAGGTGGAATAGTACATGCAGATACACATGTTAAGGGGATGTTGTAAATCATTGGTACACTAGACTGGTTTATACTCAGCTTCATTAAGTTTATAGTCATGATTTTAAAATTCAGTTAAAATTACCTTTCCTTTAACAAGACTGTTACATCTGCACCTGTTAATTAACAATGACTGGATCCTAATATTTCAGGTAAAGCCAGAACCTGAGACAGCGTTTTCCTCTGTGCCATTGTTTTCCAAAACCTTTTGAAACACAAAAGCGAGGTGCATTTGGTCCTCCTTGTAGTTTATTTTATGTCAATCCCACATATGCCATTAAAACACAAAATGTGTATTAATCCGCCGCTTAAAGTAGTTCCCACTAATTACATAATTTACTCCTCTTTAACAGCTTCAAGTAAAGTTTTTTAACAAACTACAGTTCCCAGCTGCTGTGTGGTATTTGAAGAATCTTCTAAAAACAAAAGAATTTACCACAGACAGAGGAGGATAGTCGGAAAGTCTTGAGAGCCTAACACGCTGTTGGTTTTGGTATCCAAAGAAAGTTAAAGGGCAACTGGATCTGGTTGAAGATACTAGAAGACGTTTCGAGACTTCTACAGTTCTGAAATGACTGGTAGGGAAACTCAGCTATTTAACCTCTGTGGGATTATTTGCCAGGATCATCGATACTGCTGGTTCATTAGTGCTTCTGGCTGTGGTAACGATAGTCGTTATGGTCGTTAGAACCACCCGTGGCCAAGTCTGAATGACCATCTTTAGTATCTTCCCCTGAGGCCAAGAGGTAATGCTTGTTCAGTTTCCTGGGAAGTGATGAAAGGACAGCATTGTAAGTGGGGATAAGTGGTGGCGTAGACCCCCTCCTCTATCAGCGACGGCTTTTCAACCCGAGTGTAGATGGCTTCTTTGACACCTCTTTCAAACCATCCATCCTCTCTGTCTAAAATGTGCACCTCGAGATCCTCAAATGAGTGTCCCTTATCCTTCAGATGAAAATAAACTGATGAGTCTTGACCTGAGGAGTTAGCCCTTCTGTGTTGAGCCATGCGTTTGTATAGTGGTTGCTTAGTTTTCCCAATGTACAGGTCTGTGTGTTCCGTACTGCATTGGACAGCATACGCTAGATTGCTTTTCTTGTGTTTGGGTGTGCAGTCTTTGGGGTGTACCTGTATCTGTTTGAGTGTTCTCGGGTTTAAAAAACTATAGCAAACCTACTCTTGGTTAATAAAGTTATGAATAATAATATTCGGAAATATTATTTCATAAGAACTCGTTTTCGGAGCACCACCTGAGTAGCCTACCGTCCGTTCAAGGTTTCAGGACGCCATGGGTATGGTTCTAATAATTACACAATTACTCACTAGTGATCAGTTAGTTAATAATTGCTAATCATTTGGAATCAGGTTAATCAATCAGTCAGGTTACATAAATCAAAGACATACAACAATAATGATTAAACAAGGGAGCAAGATAACAAATGAACACAAGTTATGTGATCATAACTAAGTTAAATTTTTAACTTTGTTTTATTTCTTGGGCCGTGTTCCCAGGGGGAGGGCTTTGTTTCCCCTGAGACTGTGTCTTAACCTTAATATGTTTTTAAAGTCTATTTGTGCGTTTTTAATCAAATACCTTTCCACAATCAACTCTTAAATGTCATAAACAGTTATACCGTTCTGAGTTTTAAGCATTTGATAAAAAGAAAAGTTATTGTTAAACATTTCATGGGGATCAGAGCAGCTGAAAGGGCATCTTAACTAAATCTAACTTCCTGAAGAATATTGACAGCTAAGAACATGGCTTCAGATTCCAAACAATAAAATACATTACAGAAGGAAAGGCTTTAACAATGACATGTAATTTGTCCTCTGGGGGGGCACTGGTTCCATAAGAGGACCTGAGGGACCCTCTGATTATTTAACTTATAATATTTCTGTATCATATAATTTCTAAAAAAGTATATAAAGGTGCTGGGAACAAATCATTAGTTACAACATAAATTAAATGCAGGAATGACTGTGAGCGTAGAGGATTAAAGCTCTTTAAATTAACTTTCTTTATGGTTCCTTCTTTCCAACATAGTTTCTAACTACAACATAGTAATAAAACTACTCAAATTGAAGTGACAGGCCTCTAAGTACTTAAAGATTATTTAATTCAAACAAAGTAATAAGGCAGGTTTATAAGGAGACAACATTCTTGTTCACACAAAGGAATTTTGTGGCTGCTCCTTCTCTTGTGTCTGGCTTTCCTCACAAGTTTCCCAACTGGGTGTGAATAGTAAGAGGGTTCTTTGATGCTTCGAGGTAACTGGCAGGGTGAGGTCGGTTGCCATGGCAGTTTAGAGTTTCCTGACCTCTGTCCGAAGAGGTCCTGGTCGCCTAGTTCAGGATGAGGTTAGTCTCTGGACAAGGTTAATATTGTCATTTTAACAATCAGAGTGGAGCAAACCTTTCAATCCCTCCTTTTGGGTACTTCAGCTGTCTGTTGAGGGTTGATATCTCAACCCCCCCCCCCCCCCCCTTGTCTCTCAGGGAGAGACAAAGAGAGATTCTGGATTCTTCCCTTTTGGCATAAAATAATTAAACCAACACTGGCTGGTTCACTACAAAACACAGGGATGTAGTGTTTGTTGAAAATCCTCCTGAGTTTCTCTGATACTCCAGACACACATGGAATCACAATGTTGTCGCGTTTGACCTTCTTTTCCTCATCCCCTGTAGTGTTGGTCTTCGTCTTGGATTTTGTGGCTTTTTTCACAAAGGTCCATTTAGGGTACCCACAGGCTGTAAATGCCCGTTTCAGGTGGTTCTGTTCCTTCTCTCTGTCTTGTGCACTTGTTGGTATGTTGTTCGCTCTGTGGTGCAGAGTTCTGATGACCCCTAGCTTATGTTCCAGTGGGTGGTGGGAATCGAAAAGTAAGTATTGGTCTTTGTGTGTAGGTTTCCTGTAAACCCTAATTTGCAGGCACCTGTCCTTTTCAATGTGTACAGCACTTGGCCTTCCTGGACTGTGTGACAGCAATACAGTTTCCATTATGTTATATTGATAATGAGCATTCTTCTGACTGGTCTATTGGTTTCTGCTCTCTCCTCAGTGAGTCCAGATGTGACAGATGATCACAAACAACAGCGTCATCACCATTATCCACCTGCCAAGGATTCAGAAATGGAGGGCAGATCCAGGAGCCTTGGACTGACAGGAACCATCTGGGTCTTGATATTTCCTTGCTTACACATGCTCCGGGCCTTGTAACAGCTGCCTTTTTGCAGCATGACACTTTCAAGACTTGATTTCAAGCTTATTTATCCAGAAACAAAATTGCCAGTGGATGTAACAAGTTCCAATATGTAATGGAGCACCACTTCCACACAGTGCAGGACATGGTAGGAGTGAACACTAATGATCGCGTGGAAATTACAAGACACTGTGGCTTATATGTAAAACAGCATTGGTTCAGCTTTGCAAATATTCATTCTTTTTTATCAGTTACCTGGCATTCATTAACACTAATAATAACTTAATGGTATTATAATTTAATTGTATTTCTGCACATAATTCATGATCTGTGTGTGTGTGTGTACATTGAACATAATTATAAACGCAACACGCATGTTTTTACCCCCATTCATCATGAGCTGACCTCAAAGATCTAAGACTTTCTCTATGTACACAAAAGGCCTGTTTCTCTCAAATATTGTTCACAAATCTGTCAAAATCTGTGTTAGTGAGCACTTCTCCTTTGCTGAGATAATCCATCCAGCTCACAGGGGTGGCATATTGAGATGCTGATCAGACAGCATGGGTATTGCACAGGTGTGCCTTTGGCTGGCCACATTAAAAGGCCACTCGACAATGTGCAATTTCACTGTATGGGGGGGGGGCAGTCAGTATCTGGTGGGAACACCATTTGCCTCATGCAGTGAAACACATTTCCTTCGCATAGAGTTGATCAGGTTGTTGATTGTGGAATGTTGGTCCACTCCCTTTCAAATAACACGCTGTCATATACGCTGATCCAGAGCATCCCAAACATGCTCAATGGGTGACATGTCCGGTGAGTATGCTGGCCATGCATGCTTCCAGGAATTGTGTACAGATCCTTGCAACATAGGGGTGTGCATTGTCATGCTGCAACATGAGGTGATGGTCGTGGATGAGTGGCACAACAATAGAACCTCAAGATCTCGTCACGGTATTTCTGTGCATTCAAAATGCCATCAATAAAATGCACCTGTGTTCGTTGTCCATAACACATGCCTGCCCATACCATAACCCCACCGCCACCATGAACCACACGCTCCACAACGTTGACCTCGGCAAACCGCTCACCCACACGACACCATACATGCGTCTGCCATCTGCCCTGTACTGTGAAAACCAGGATTCATCCCAGTCAAATTGGTTACGATGAAGAACTGCAGTCAGGTCAAGACCCCGATGAGGAGGACGAGCATGCAGATGAGCATTTCCTGACAGTTTGTATAGAAAGTCCGATTGTTGCAGCAGCTGTCCGGATGGCTGGTCTCAGACAATCTTGGAGGTGAAGATGCTGGATGTGGAGGTCCATGGCTGGTGTGGTTACACATTGTCTGTGGTTGTGAGGCCGGTTGGATGTACTGCCACATTCTCTGAAACGCCTTATGAGGCGGCTTATGGTAGAGAAATGAAAATTCAATTCACGGGCAACAGCTCTGGTGGACATTCCTGCAGTCAGCAATGCCAATTGCACGCTCCCTAAAAACTTGCAACATCTGTGTCATTGTGCTGTGTGATGGAACTGCACATTTTCGAGTGGCCTTTTATTGTGGCCAGCCTAAGGCACACCTGTAATAATAATAATAATAATAATCCTTATTTGTAGAGCACTTTTCAAAAACAAGTTACAAAGTGCTTTAACAAGTGTAAAGACAATAATACCCAAGAGACAATAATACAAAAAACAATACAAGATAAAAGCATGAAAACATTGAAAAGACTAAAATACAGATAAATATAAAATTAGTAAAATACAATAAAATAAAAGGGATAAAATAAAGTCAAATAAGATCGGGAAAGGCTCTCCTATAAAAGTATGTTTTAAGAAGGGACTTAAAAGAGTTCACTGACTCAGCTGACCTGATTTCCTCGGGCAGGCTGTTCCAGAGCCTCGGGGCCCTGACAGCAAACGCTCTGTCCCCTTTAGTTTTCAGTCGAGACTCTGGAACAGACAATAGACCTCTGCCAGAGGATCTCAAGGTACGTGCTGGTGTGTATGGGACTAAAAGGTCAGAAATATAACAAGGCGAGAGGCCATGAAGAGCTTTAAAAGTGATCAATAGAATTTTAAAGTCAATTCTAAAACATACTGGGAGCCAGTGTAATGAAGCTAAAATAGGGGTAATGTGGTCATATTTCTTTGTTCTGGTTAAAAGCCTGGCAGCTGAGTTCTGGACAGTCTGGAGTCGATCAATAGATTTTTGGGTTAAACAGGTGAAAAGGCTGTTGCAATAATCCAGGCGTGATGAGATGAAGGCGTGTAAAATGGTCTCGGTGTCCTTAAAAGTTAACATAGATCGAATTTTAGCTATATTTCTAAGTTGATAAAAACATGATTGAACAAGCTTTGTGGTGTGCTGCTTGAAATTTAAATTACTATCAAACCAAACACCAAAAACCAAACACCTGTACAATACCCATGCTGTCTGCTGTCTTAATATGCCACACCTGTGAGGTGGACAGATTATCTTTGCAAAGGAAAAGTGCTCAATAACACACATTTTGACAGATTTGTGAACAATATTTGAGAGAAATAGGCCTTTTGTGTAAGTCTTAGATCTTTGAGTTCAGCTCATAGAAAAGTGTTGAGTTTATAATTTTGTTCAGTGTTCAGCAAATGACTACTTACATATACACTCACCAGCCACTTTAGCTATTTGACCTTGAACCTAATAATCAGCCAATCACATGGCAGGCATGGTGACGTGGTCAAGACAACTTGCTGAAGTTCACACCCAGCATCAGAATGGGGAAGAAAGGGGACTGAAGTGACTTTGAATGTGGCATGGTTGTTGGTGCCAGATGGGCTGATCTCAGTATTTCAGAAACTGCTGATCTACTGTTATTTTCACGCACAACCATCTCTAGGGTTTATAGAGAATGGTCCGAAAAAGAGAAACTATCCAGTGAGCAGCAGTTGCGTGGATGAAAATGCCTTGTTGAGGTCAGAGGAGAATAGGCAGACTGGTTCGAAATGACAGAAAAGCAACGGTAACTCAAATAATCGTTACAACCAAGGTATGCAGAATACTATCTCTAAACGATCAACATGTCGAACCATGAAGCAGATGGGCTAAAGCAGCAGAAGACCACACCGGGTGCCACTCCTGTCAGCTACGAACATGAAACAGAGGCTACAATTCGCAGGCTGACCAAAAGTGAATAGAAGATTGGAAAAATGTTGCCTGGTCTGATGAGTCTTGAGTCTTCAGCAGTGACATTCAGATGGTAGGGTCAGAATTTGGCATAAACAACATGAAGGCATGGATCCATCCTGCCTTGTATCAATGGTTCAGGCTGGTGGTGTGGGGGATATTTTCTTGGCACACTTTGGGCCTCTTAGTACCAATTCAGCATTATTTAAATGCGACAGCCTGCCTGAGTATTATTGCTGACCATGTCCATCCCTTTATGACCATAGTGCAGGATAATGCACCATGTCACAAAACTCAAATCATCTGAAAATAGTTTCTTGAACATGACAAAGATTTCACTTTACTTCAATGGCCTCCACAGTCACCAGATCTCAATCCAATAGAGCATCTTTGGGATGTGGTGGAACGGGAGATTCGCATCATGGATGTGCAGCTGACAAATATGCAGCAACTGCATGATGCTATCATGTCAATATGGACCCAAGTCTCTGAGGAATGTTTCCAATATCTTGTTGAAAGTATTCCACGAAGAATTATGGCAGTTATATATCATCACATCACAATGCAATGCACTCTACACAGTACAAGTAGCACTTCTTCTAAACTGCAGTGAAAGGAGTCAAGTTATCTAAAAGGTTATTTTTGATGTTGCATTTGAAATAGAAAAAAATAAGTCTGCACCGCTCTTGCAGTTGCAATATTTGTAAAAGCTTAAAATGGCCTTCCGAAAACTCTGACATGTACTGTATGTTGTTGTGCATTTTGTTAATAAGAACAAAAAATTATTTTGAGACATCTGCTACCATTCACTTGTAATAGCTGCCATGCTGTCTGGAGTCTATTTAATTGGTAAATTTCAATTGCAAAACTGACCTGTTATGCTGCTGCTGAGAGAAATGGTGAAAGGAGAGGGGTGGGCAGGTGGAAGAGGGGGGTGAGAGAATTCATACTCTTTTCTTCTTTAGAAGTAGATTAGCTTCCTTAGGAGTCTATTATCATCTTTCAAACTCAATCGTCCTCTACCTTCATAGGCCTGGATGGGAGCTGATAGCTCCTGAACCCACTGGTGAGGAAGAATCCAATTGCTTCTACCTGCTACCTGACTGCATACTGCTGGTGTGTTGCTGTGTTGCTGGCAGGTTTCTGTACAGAGAAAAGGAAAATGATTTGTTTCACATATGCCATGCAGGCCTGGTCAATGGCTGAGAGAGAAAAGTACTCACCATTACTGAAAATCAGTTATTTGGCCAACATATGCTGGGGAACAGCTTGTAGAGCTAAAAAAAATCTATGTATACACAAAAACATACACACATACATAAAAAAGAAAACTTAAAACTACTACTGCAAAAAGATGATAGGTTAAAATTAACTGACACATTAAATCAGGGCACAAAACAGCTATTTATTTTCCATCCAAAGGTACAATCTCCTCAGGTAGTCTCTTTGATCATATATGACCGTATTTTAAAATCCTGCGACCTTCATCAAGCTGCACTTGTCCTAAAGCATGCATGGTCATTTTTGTCATTAGTCACTTTCACCTTTATTATAGCAGGTTAGCCTTTTATCATGATATAAAGGCTGTCTGAGAATCTGAACCACTTCAGTAGCTTGGAGTTTTTCCAACTACAGTCTCAAGGTTTATAAATGGCACTCTGAGATTAATTATACTCATCATTTCTTACCGTATTTTAAATGTAATGTCTACTTAACAAGTCACAACTGCTCCCCCAAACCAATTATATATTAAGTTGGCACCATCAAAGTCAGTGCTATTGTCATTTGAACAACTGTTTTAATGACGCTATTAAAGACTAGTGTTCAGTCTCTAACTAGGTAACAGGCAGCAGGCAGAGACAAAGATGTCTTGAGGCTAAATATAGATGTCAAGTTACACTGATTCTCCCAGACTTACAGGAAAGAGTTCAATGTGATGTCTTATGTGGTTATTATCTCGCCACATATTGAGACCATTATCCAGAGGAGGCAGGAAAGGGGCCAGATACTAATTGTGATGATGCCAGTGTCAATGATGTGCACCCACATTCAGACAGGTGTCACCCAGCAGGCACTGCAGTGTGTCAGAACCTCTTGAATAACATGCTTACTCTCTAATATT